AACAAATATGTACTTTCGTCTTTTTTTAATTAGATCTATATTTATTGTGAAAAACATAAACTATAAAAATGAATTTTAACTGCGAGCGGCAAAAATCAATAAAGTCGGTAACGTCTAAAAAGTGTTTTTGGGTACCAGGAGTTCATATGGTACAACGACGATGTGCCGTCCTATAGGTATGCGCTGTCGCGTGGTGTGTGGCGGCGACCGCAGTTTCTGTATTAGGTTATGTTGGTCGGTGCGAGTAGTTGGGAGTCGGGTGCCAAAACCGAAAATAATAAAAGCAATGCTTTATCCATTATATTCTACGTTTTGAGACTCTAAGTATCAGTGATGTATTGGACCGTAAATGGAGGTATACGACGTATACCCACTTCTCTTTTTTTTTAGCGTTTACTCTCTAAATGTACGATGGTACGGGAGTATACGGCCTCGTATGTCTAGTAGAATGGTAGTATTTTTTTTATATTTTAATATGATATTTGAGTTCCTATAGTAAGTTAGAACATGTGATATTCTTCGTTTATATTATGTATGGACGTCTACATTATTGTATACGTTATACAATATAGCAATGTAGTTTACGTACGATACACGTTTTCTTAAAATGTTGGTATAGGTTCGAAATTAAAATACGGATTACCGTCATCATAATAATATAATGACGTCATACGTACGAATAATAAATAATCATAATAATAATAACGTTTGGAAACATTTTTTTCTCTAAGGAGACGACTCAACATCGAAACGGGAATTTTAAATAGGACCAGGAGCACATGAAGTACGGTGTGCGCTGCGGCAGCGACGGCTACCGTCGACGGCCCGACGCGGCAACAACGTCCGGGTCCTGCGCTCCTGGTACGTTGACGTCTCCCTTGTGCCGCGTACGAGTACGTTGAAGATGCGTCGTACACATTATATTCGTATTATATTCGACGACTCGTTGCGGGAATTACGTTCTGCCGCCGATACCTGCCACCAGTAGCGCCAATATCGTTCGGCCGCCTACCACTACGAATAGTCGCTGCAACAACGTCCGGGTCCTGCGCTCCTGGTACATCGACTTCTCTCTTGTACCTCGTACGAATGCGTCGTCCGTGCACATTGTGTTCGTAGGCCGCGCGCGGCGTTGGATTTGTATCGTACCGGTCGGTCTTACGATTAGAGAGCGCACAACGAACGCGTTTTCGTCCGTAAAAATAGTCAGCGTTTCGGCGATACACGAAAACGGTTCGGTGTGTTGTGTAAACGTGAATTTGTACATGTGCGTATCTAGAGTATTTAAAGAGTATTTAGGTGTATTTAAAAATATCGTCCGTATGGTTCAAAATTAAAATGCGGATAGAGCCGTAGTATTATAATGTCGTCGTCATAAAATCCAAACAATATTAATAATAACAATAATTGTTATTATTTGATCAACGTTTCGGAACTTTTCTAGGGCGGATTTCTCGGTTGGGGTCGGCAGAATTTTATCAAGGACCACACAGTACCAGGAGAACATGAGGTTCTGTGTGCTTTGCGTCGGCGACGGTTGCCGCCGATGACTCGTCGCGGGAATATCGTCCGGCCGCCGACCGCTACGAATAGTCGCGGCAATATCGTCCGAGTCCTGCGCTCCTAGCACATAGAGGTCTATTTTGTACCTCATACGAAAACGTTAAAAATGCTTCGTACACATTATATCCGTATACGAACAAGATTTGGTATTTTTAAATGATACAGTTTAGAATACTCTAAAAAATTATTGTCAAATATAAATCGGTTAAGTTGATTTATAATATGTGGTAAAACAAAACATGTAATGAATAATATGCATTTATTTGAATTATCCATAAGTATTTTTTTAAAGCATTTGAATAGTACTAATAGTTTATACTACAACTCATTTTTTTTATTGCAATGCATTTTTCATAATGGTTTGTTTTTGGTCGTCGGTTACAGAGCCAGAATTCATTTTTTCTTTTAATGGCATTTTGGTTTTTTTAAAAGCAAATAAAAACAAGATCTCGGTCTCTACGATCTCGGCTGGGGTCGGCATCGAAACGGGAATTTTATTTCTGACCAGGAGAACATGAGGTTCGGTGTGCGCTGCGGCGGCGACGGCCACCGTCGACGGCCCGACGCGGCCACAACGTCCGTGTCCTGCGCTCCTGGTACGTCGACGTCTACCTCGGACCGCGTACGAATACATTGAAGATGCGTCGTACACATTATATTCGTATTATATTCGACGACTCGTTGCGGGAATTATGTTCTGCCGCCAAAACCTGCCACCCGTAGCGCCAATATCGTTCGGCCGCCGACCGCTACGAATAGTCGCTGCAACAACGTCCGAGTCCCCTGCGCTCCAGGTACGTCGACGACTCTCTTGTACCTCGTACGAATGCGTCGTCCGTGTTCGGAGGAACATTGTGTTTGTAGGCGGTGGATACGAATTTGTATCGTACGAAAATATACGACTACTTGTCGTATGACTCGTGTGCGCACACCGTTTTTGTCAATAAAATAGTCAGTATTTTGGTGATATACGAACAAGATTCGGTATTTTGTATAACCATACGAGACGTGTTAATATGTATACCATAACTTTGAGCCGATATTTTAGTGAATTATCGTGTGAGTTATTTCCGTAATATTATACGGAATGTATACCGATTTTCAAAAATCATACTATGAAAGAGAAAATAGTAAACCATCGCTGTCTAGAAAACAATTCAATACTTATGCTCCCTTAATTGATGTGGACTTGACGCGTCAAACCGATAATGTTCAATCGTCGACCGTAGACTTACGTATACAATTTGATACACAGACAAATATCGTATCAAATACTTCAGCTTATTGTTTAATATGGCACGACCGAATTATTACTTCTAACCCATTTAACGGCGATGTCCGTAAATTGTAAGTGACTGTTGTAAAACTCGAAATTGGATTTACATAATCCGCCAAAAGCCGATTTAAAAATGGTAAACCCATCGTTCACACCTTCCATGCGTTTAATATTTTTACCACTACCTATTATTTCATNGAAAGGAAATCTAACCTAGGTGGGTACTTAAAGGTAGTCATATTTTGATTTTCCAACTGATTTCATAATAAATATTGGGGAAAACAGGTATATTACAGCATATTATATACCGTTACGGTAATTTTACCATTACATAACACATATATTGTTGACAAAACAACGAAATTGGATTTACATAATCCGTCAAAAGCCGATTTAAAAATGGTAAACCCATCGTTCACACCTTCCATGCGTTTAATATTTTTACCACTACCTATTGTTTCATCATCGTTATCTCTTTTTATTTCTCTCG